ACAAAACGGTCAACTGAAGGACTGAATAAGGGTTTCTTGACCTTAATCCTGACTCATGAATAATGTTCCCTTTCGTATGGTCAGTAATAATTATTCAAAGTACTGACCTGAAGATCATATTGAAGCCATAGGTAATGGACAGAGCGATGAGAACGTATTGTAATTGACCTTTCACGACCTTGTGTGCACTATCTGCCGTACAGATCAATTGTTTGATAACGTATCCACGAACGTCCTATTATCGACGTGGATTCACCATTTAACGATGTTTGTTTAGTTTCAACATAAGGACAGTCTGTATTACTGTCAAATACCAGCAGGCAACATCGATATATAACCAAAACAGAAGCAATCACCAAAATAACAAACTCTGAAGAACGGACAGAGAGACACTGTATTTCCAGAAAGGGAGGATGGGGTTAGCACGTGCGAATGTTGATCCTCACAAAAGGACACGTGAAGAACATACATAATTAATTTTCCGATATTAATTCAGGTGCAATTATTCAATTAATCAGATTAAATACTTACACCTTTACACTTTTGGTGTTATAGGCCAGTGTAATTTCATCTGAGTGTTGGAACTTCTGTTTCTTACACAGAAACACATCAAAGTTTCTGTCACAGTGTGTGTGTGTGTGTTCGGAGTAATTTTTCCCTGTGTACGAATATAGATGTTTTGATATATTTTTATAATTGCCTTAAACATTTTAGTTTCACTCTTGCAAACGTAGAAACAAACTGAATCGTATAACAAAAATTAATGATAGTAGTAGTTGTGGTATTGGTAGATCATAACGTGGACTTCATAATTTTTTATAGTTTAATATATTCAAATACATAAACAAATCAGAATATAATGTATTATTCATACTAGACTGATGTTCACAATTTTATGTCAGACGTAACAACCCCCCCAAAAAAAAATCCCCCATTTCCTGTAGAATGTATCGAAGCTGCCTGTGAATGTCACTGTGTTTCCTACTATTTCTGTCTGTACTCTGGGGAAGCGAGTGTCTTTTTTGTAACGACAGAAATAGTTTTTGGAGAAATATCAAGATCCTCTTAGGGCAATGTTTCAGGTGAGCGGTTTCTTGTTCCATTCGTTAACTCGGAGTTAAAACAACATTACATAAACCTCGTGACTATCAGTCGTGCTGAAAGTAGTAATAGAATACGAAAACTGACATCCATTGGAGAACTGGTATAAAACGGTGAAAACACAAGTTAGGTAGGACTAGTTTTACCTGCAATGAAGTCTTAATGAACCGTAAAACTAACTTGGGAAAAACATTAGCAGTGAAGCAATGTTAAATATAGTGTTACTATTACAACTAAAGGAAATACTGCTACGTTAGGAATCCACGCTGCTTAGGCTATGGTTATTAGACAAACAGTGCAGGAATTCTCTAGAAGAACAATGTTGGTTATACAGAGCTTCTCCTAAACAATCAGCACATGTGCTACTAACACGCTCTTCTCATTTTTTAAAGGATAGAATAAATTTTATTGGTAAAACACCCTCATGAATGTCCTAGCTACCGATCCCCACTTTTGAATCCAAAGTTATGTCACTGTACACACTAATAAGATGGGATTATCTAGAAAACAGTGCAAGACGCTCGATATATTTGGGCTACTAATAATAGTGTTTTTACTTACTTTTATTTATTTGTTGTTGTTGTTTTTTCTGTTGAAACTATATTATAGCGTAATTCAAGAGGCTAAACGTTCCGGAAGTTTAAGGATGGTTTGTTTATGAAACGGACTATAATGGACTGCCCATATTTATTCTTTCAATCTGATCACAGAACACATTAGAAGTTTGCTGCATTTGTTTCTGGACAAATAATTGAACAGTTTTAAATATTTCCAAATTCATTACATCCTAACATTAAAATTACTAATGAGAATGAGAAAGAGTGTGGATTATGTGCTTTTTTTTTTTCAGTGTCATGGTTAATAAATTCTAAGAGCCCATGAATAAAGATGAAATTAGTAATACTTTTAAAATATACTGATCTCTACTTTAATTGGACGTCAGCTCATCAGAAGACTCGAAAAATAGGGATTATCAAAACTTTATTGGCTATAGCTAAGGTTCATTGTAGTTTAAAAAACAATAACAACAACAAAATAACAGCTGGATGAGGAAATACGATATCTAGGAACTGTACTGTTAGAAAAAGGAGTGATTATCTTACTAATGTGGTTACAAAATCCTTAAGTATTGAAAACATGACAGAAGAAAGCATTCAGATGGTTTGGTTTACTGTACGTACCTGACTTACTAGGTAATGTGGCAAGAAATATGTCCCCTGGTGGCTCGTGATAAGTCCGAGGGCTTATAGCGCTAAAAATCAGGTTTCGATACCTGCGGTGGGCAAAGCACAGACAACCTATTGTGCAACTTTGCGCTTAACAACAAACAAGCAAGCACAAAGGTACGCAAAGGGCTGTATCTGTGCTCTGCCCACCACGGGTATCGAAATCCGGTTTCTAGCGTTCCGCAGACATACCACTGTGCTACTGGGGGGGGGGGGCGCCACCAAAAAAGTGATGTTCATTCGACATTTCTCTTCTGACACTAATCATTCTAAAGTGGTTTATAAATTGCTTTAATCAAAATAATCGGATATTAGAGAAACATAAATCTCTCTCCCTCTATATGTATATGTGTGTGTATGTATATTTACATATACAGGCTAACCAAACAAGAAATATCGCACTGATATTTTACGGGAAAATATAATACCCTAACGGCACAAACGTACATTACTGACATGGAACACTTGGTTTGTAACAATATTAATTAGAACATTGGCTTCAAACAATTTCAGTTTTTAAGCTTCCAAGTGTCTTCCAGCAACTATGAAATACGGTTGTTGAAAAACTATAGCGCAATGTATTGTTCCCATAAGAAATCAGTGGAGTATCTCTCGTTGGATAACTCTGTATATTAATATCTCTCTCTTTGTACAGTCGCCCCTTCCAAATTCGGCAATCTTTGAACCTGAATCTTGAAGTTTGCCAGATTTCGGGTGATCATATTATAGTTAAAAATAAAGATAAATATTGAAGTTTGCCAGATTTCTGGTGATCATATTATAGTTAAAAATAAAAATAAATATTGAAGTTTGCCAGATTTCGGGTGATCATATTATAGTTAAAAATAAAAATAAATATTGAAGTTTGCCAGATTTCGGGTG